GTGTCATTTTGTGGATTACTGAATGAACTATACTACAGACCTCGCTATTGTAAGTATTTTAATATATGTCTGAAATCACTTTCAGATATAAACAATAGCTGAAAAAAAAACTTATTCTTGAAAAAAACAAGACAATAGTTAGCGTGTCTATATTTAAGCCTTTATTCATCATACTACAAAAATAAACCAAGGCAATAGTTGTTTCGATAGATAAATAAATAGCGGTATATATATTTTCGAAAAGGGAGAGAGAGTGTGAGAGAAAAAAGAAAGGAGGAAGAGTTAAAAATTCATGAAATAGAGAGAGATAAATTTACAGATAGAAAAACAACAAATATTTCGCCAGCAAACTGTTGTCCTCATCAGGTGCTGTATAAATGTTAGAATAGTTTTACAGCAGGTCAGATTTTGTTTTCTTCGAATTGTGAATGATATGGTATTTCAAGTGAACCACTATTGTATTTTATGTTCCAGGGAGAAAACATTTTTATTACAACAATTATGATTTTAAAGTATCACATTCGATTTTTGTTTGCAGACTGTCAGGAAACATTATTGAAAATATTAACACTCGGTGGTAAAAGCGCTTGTTATTGTGGTGTTTGGACGGGAGGCCCTGTTTTGAAGGGCGGGGACCGAATAACTATCTAGTTTAGGTGCATTCCTCCGATATAGACAAGAGCTAGTTATCTGACCTTCCACTGTAACTATGAAACAAATAATTTAAATCTCCGTTTCGGTTCTTTAGAGCGTTGTATGCTGAAAGTAGGTTGTTGGCGTCCTGATAATGGAGCAATTGTAAATATGATACAGGCCGAAATCATGTCATTATCACGTGTCTTCAAAATCCTCGTATGTTGTGAGGAAAATACTTAAATGTGGGGAACGTTAAAATATATCCTCGTTTATACTAAAGCTACATGTCAGTCACTCATGTGATTTATTGTGTGGCTCTATTTTCCTGCTGTTTTCGCTACAGTTTATCTATTATTCTATTTTATTGGAAGACGATTTCCAGAGTGTATCTCTCTCGTGACCGTGCTATGTAAAAGAGACTGATATGTTTCCAATACACTTTGTCTTTGAATTTGAAATAGACTGGATTTTCACTACCATGCTCGATTCAAGGCTGACAGGTCTAGAGGGAAGTATCAGATGGGTAACGGAAACTCTAGTGTGAAACAGAAGGAGGCTAGAAGTCCACAGAGGGGGTTTGGAGGGCACTACAAAGAGCCTAGGTTGCAGAAGGAACCTGAATTGCCACAGGGGGAGGTGGAGGGCCAACAGAGGAGAGGGAAATGGTGTGTGACTGAAGGAACCTGGGGCAATAGAAGGAAACAGAAGTGCAACAGAAAAATAAAAATGGAAAAATAGATACAGCCTGGGGAGCAACAGAACGGAAGTTACCTTGGATGTAAGAGAAGTCGCCTTGGGTGCAGAAGAATGAGCTTGTAAATTCTACAGAAGGAATCTTTAGGTGCAACAGAGCTTGGGGTGCAACAGAATGAACGCTGGGATATAACAAAATACGCATTAGATGAACAATAGAAAGAACCTGAAGATCCAGGGGTGGAACAGAAGGTTCCAGAGGCACAACAGGAGGATCCTATGTGTAAAAAAATCGAGCAGGAGTCCCCTAGCCGCTCTCCGCCGCGAGGGAGCTTTCCCTTTCCCGGGATTTAAGGGGATCCCTGCCTCGCCAACCGGCCCGTCGCCTCATGGACAGACACCCCTACCGCTCCCTTCCCCCTCCCCTTCCTCCCCCCGGTCGAGTCCACTCAGATCTCGTTCATATTGCTCACTGTCTTTCCCCTCCTCATAACCCCGCGCTGTGGATGTTATGAGGTCGAAACCGGATTAAGGAATGGCCCTTGTACGGATTAGAGACATTCCTCAGTTGTAGTGTTTGAGACAATGTTGGCATTGCTGCGTTGAAGCGAGGGAGAGGTGAGGGGATGGTGAGGAGAGTGAGGATAGGGTGTAGAAAAGGTGATAGGGGGAGTGAGGAAGAGGCAGAGGGAGGAAGAGGTTGAGGAGAGAGTGAGGAGAGTGAATATAGGGTGTAGAAAAGGTGATAGGGGTAGTGAGGAAGAGGCAGAGTGAGGAAAGTGAGGATAAGGTGTAGAAGAGCTGATGGAGTGAGAAAGAGACAGAGTGAGGAAGAGGTAAAGGTTAAGGGAGGAAGAGATGACGGGAGAGTGAGGAGGAAGTGAGGACAGGGTTTAGGAAAAGTGATGGTCGGGTGAATGAGAAGCGAGACCAAGGCAAAGGAGAAAACACGAAGAAGCGAGAAAGAGGTGAAGTCAGAATACAAAAGGTAAGAGCGGGTTTAGGAAGAGGGGAGGGAGAAGGGAAGGAAGAGAAGAGGAAGAGACAAGAGAGGCAGAGAGCGAGAGGATCCGGCCGCCACCACCGCCAGGAGGAGTGACTTGATCTCTCGTCTCGATAGAACTGGAGCGCTTCAGTCCACACTTCCTTCGCGTGCAGTGGCGACGTCTTG